CAATAACCACACCCATCTAAGCCCCACCCCACCCATCTAAATGCCCGACCACACCCCTCTAAGTCCCTGCCCCTTCTGACCACACCCTTCTAAGCCCCTCACCTGCAGCCACACCCCTCTAAGCCCCTCCCCAGTGACCACACCCCTCTAAGCCCCTCCCCTGCAGCCACACCCCTCTAAGCCCCTCCCCAGTGACCACACCCCTCTAAGCCCCTCCCTGGTGACCACACCCCTCTAAGCCCCTCCCTGGTGACCACACCCCTCTAAGCCCCACCCCTCTCCACAGTGGGCGGAGCTCCCCGACCGCTCCCTGGCCCGGTGCCCCCATTGCCGCAAGGTGTAAGTGGCCCCACCCCTCTCGGGGGCGTGGTCTCTGTGTGACCCCGCCCCCCCTCCTGTTCTGGGCAAGCCCCGCCCCCCCGGGGGACATGACCACGCCCCCTTTGTTGGACGCAGGTCTGCGATTGGGCGGCGGTTCCCACGGCGACGCTGCCTGTGCTGCCTCCTGGGGGCGCTGCTGATGGGCGGGGCCGCCGCGGGGCTCGCGGTGAGGGGCGGGGCCTAAAGGGGAGGGGCCTGGGGGGCGTGTGGTCTGGAGAGGCGTGGCCTGAAGGGGAGGGGATGGGAGAGGGCGTGGCCTAAAGGGAGAGGCCTTTGGCGCCAGGCGTGGTGTGTGGAGTTTAGGCCAGATTTAACTGGGATTTAGGCCGGGTTTAACTGGGATTTAGGTGGGGTTTAACTGGGATTTAGCTTGGGTTTAACTGGGATTTAAGCCAAGTTTTGTTGCCATCCAGGCCGGGACGTGGTGGCTCTGGCGCCACGCGCGGTGGGTGGGGTTTAGACCGGGTTTAAGTGGGATTTAGCTCGGGTTTAACTGGGATTTAAGCCAGGTTTTGTTGCTGTCCAGGCCGGGACGTGGTGGCTCTGGCGCCGGGCGCGGTGGGTCCCGGCGGCCTGGGCGGCGCTGGGGGCGGGGGCGGGGGCGTGTCTGCTCCGCGCGGCCTATTGGGGCTGCGTCAGGGTCAGCCAGCCCCTCCCACCCCGCGCCTGACCACGCCCACCCCACCGGCGGACACGCCCACCGGGGAGGCCACGCCCACAACACACACCTGGGACACGCCTGGAGCTGGTGGGACACGCCCACTTTTTGTTGGACACGCCCCCCCTTTGGGGACACGCCCACCCCGACACCTGGGTGGGTGACCCTTGGTTGGCCCCGCCCCCTTTCGACCGTGCGACCCTCCCAAAATTGTGCCACGCCCCCTTTTTTCCCCAGCATGGCCCCTCCCCCTGCATGCCCAAAGCCCCGCCCCCTTGTACATAAGCCCCGCCCCTCCCATACCCCCATGTATATTATTATTATTATTTAATTAACAGCCCTGTTAATTAACCCCCCCTGGTGGGGGGGGGCGGGGCCTGACGTGTAAATAAACCCGAAATCGCTGGATTTGCCCCCAAAACTGAGCTTTATTAAAATATATCGGGGCGGGGGAGGGGTCTGTGGGGCGGGGGAGGGGCCTGGGGATGGGGGAGGGGCCTGTGGGGGGGGATTTGGCCCCAGTTTGGGGCTGTTCTGGGGCAAATCGGAGGCAAAAGGAGCCGGTGACATCATCAAAGCCCATTTTGAGCCAATCTGTTGCTGTTTGGGGCCAATCTGGTGCTGCTGAAGCCAATTTGGGGCCAATTTAACAATGTTTGGAGCCAATCTGGTGCCATTTAAGCCACCTTAGGGCCGTTTGGAGCTGATCTGGTGCCGTCTAAGCCGCCTTTCCCCCCCTTGGAGCCCACCCTGCCCCGCTCCCAGCCCTGGTGCTGGCCCTACATGGTCAGGTATGCGGTGATGGGGCAGTGGTCACTGCCCTACATGGCCAGGTAGGCGGTGATGGGGCAGTGGTCACTGCCCTACATGGCCAGGTAGGCGGTGATGGGGCAGTGGTCACTGCCCTACATGGCCAGGTAGGCGGTGATGGGGCAGTGGTCACTCCCGGGCACGGCGCTGCGGATCTTGCTGTCGCACAGGGCGTCGTCGGCCAGGCGCCGGGACAGCACGAAGTAGTCGAGCCTCCAGCCCACGTTGCGGGCGCGGGCGCCGCCCAGGTAGGTCCAGAAGGTGTAGGCGCCGCGCGCCTCGGGGTACAGGCGGCGGAAGGAGTCGACGAAGCCGGCGCCCAGCAGGCGAGAGAAGCCCTCGCGCTCCTGCGGCGTGAAGCCAGCGCTGGCGCGGTTGGAGCCGGGGTGGCACAGGTCAATCTCCTGGTGCGCCACGTTGAGGTCCCCGCAGAGCAGGACGGGTTTCTGGGCGTCCAGGCCCCGCAGGAACTCCAGGAAGGCCGAGTCCCAGCGCAGCCGCGGCTCCAGGCGCACCAGGCCCCGCCCGGCGTTGGGCACGTAGGCGCTGACCACGAAGAGGGACGGGAACTCGGCCGTGATCACCCGGCCCTCCGAGTCGTGCTCGGGGGCTCCTGGGGGGGTAAAAC